GCTCTTGTGTGAATGTAGCAATCTTGCTCCTCAACTCTTTAGCACGTGACTCATCAAAGAAATTTCACAAGAATGCGTTCTTTATCTCTTTCTTGGATGTAAGAGATTATGGTGGTAGCTGCTTAAGCCAATTCAAAACTTCTCCAGCAAGTGAGTATTTGAAGAGCTTGCATAGTAGATAGTCCGCATGGACTCCATTAGCTTTAGTATCAGATATAAGATCCTTTAACCTCTCCAGATGGTCTATAGCATGAGATATAGGTGCTAAGTTGGAGGATATAATTCAGCTCAACAAGAGTACAGTCCATCAGTGTGTCGCATTTTACCCCGTTTATTGACTAGATCTACTGGTCTCGGCTGTCGCATGTTCACCAATAGAAAGTGTCGATTGATGACTCTATAGGAGTATCGATCAATATACCATTCGCAAGCGTTGATCGACTATTCAATATAAATATCAATCGATCGGCTTCTAGCCAAGATTTATGCGCGGGTTGATTAACTACTCAATAGGTTCAAGATCAGATGTTGCCTTTTCTAGAAATCCTAGTTCAACTAAGACTAGTTCAGATGACAGACCAAGCAGTCGCATTGTATCTAATCATTCTAATATCAGGGTTCTAGTTAGCTACTCTAGAACACAAACATTAAGATCAGCCTTATTGATGAATACTACAACTTAAAAATTCTATATTTGAGACTAATCCCTCATCACCTATTTAAACCCTAAATCTAACAGTAGAACTACTCATACAGAGCAAAGCAATTCATAATAACAATAACATAAGAAAACTGCTTAGATAGAATAGATATAACAATGGAGTTCCAATCACAAGCTTGTAGAAGTCTTGAATCTTCTCTCCAACTCTCTCTAACTATTTAAGGTATGAAAACAAGAATATTACAAAGCACACTTTGTTGGCAACACTTAGCAAAACTATTAATACTTAGGTTAAAACTCGTCAGGGGTAATATTGTAATTTGGTGACGACTTGGGCTTCAAACCGTCTGGAACAAAATCGTGGCTCTGCGTTTTACGCCCATCGATCAATGTCACGAGGTGTGCATCGATCGATCATGATCACTAAATATTGACCTCTCGGCCTGCTTTATGGTCAGCTCGGCTGAAACTCCTCTTGTCTCTAAAAGGATTCCTAAATCATCACTTTCTTCCAAATCACTCCTGAACCTATAAATATGCTATCTAGACTCTAAAACATAATAGTTAGATCATAAAACACTTATATACCATAGCTAAAAGTGGGTAACATCCATAGCATATCACTAGACCAAGTCCAGACTGAAGCATCACGATTACAGTGTGTGGAGGGAATGGAACAGCAGGAAACATATTGTTTCTTACCATACATCTCAGCAGCTCACGCGGTTCATAGATAAGACAATACGCAATCACATATCCTCTCTTCGGCCCAGGAACATGGAGAATTGCAGTAACCTGATGATACGTTGGATGGGAAGGAATGAGTAGTTATCTTTTTCTCCTTAATCTGATATGATTTCCCAGATATTCAAGTTCTTTCATATTGTAAACTTTTTTTCTTTTGTTGATAAATAAATTTAACCTTTCAACAAAAAAAAAACTAACCACTGTATAGCAGCACCATTCCTAGACTCGTTGACAACAGAGTGTATTAGAGATACTAAAGAGGATCACCCTGTTGTTATATCACACTTTCTTAGAACGTTTGAAGGAACTGAAGCTGGCCTCCAAACATAATCTAACTTATCTAGTTGCTTTAGGCCTTGTATACATTGGATTGGATTCTTCCTGCAAGTCTGGAAGGTAAAACTCTGTGTACTTCTGATTCCCTTCTCTCTATCTCTCTCTTCGACATCTACAAAATAAAAGATTGAGTTGGTTTCCTGCGATGCAGAAGGGTAGGTACATTACCAATGACCCCACTATTCTAATCTAAGTCAAAGGAATGACCCCACTATTCTAACTCAACGGAATGATCATACATTATGGAAACGAGGGATAGGTACATTACCCATGACCCCACTATTCATCTACACTTTGGCAAAATAAAGAAAAAGTAGATGAACAAGATGGACTGTGGCAGCACCATTGAGTCATTGCATTTATAAAAAAAGAAAACTAGATTCAGAGAAGATTGCATGTGTATTCAGAAACTTCTTGAGGTAAGAGTCCAAGTATCATCTGATCGATACTCCCAAGGTAAAGCCTGCACTTTTATATTATGCAAGAAATGAGGTTAGTAGAAAAGGGATTTGATAAGTTTCTGGTAGAATGGATTTGGTTGCTAGACTAGGGGATGGTATATAAAGTGCCTCTGAGGTTAGCATTTTTTGTGAGTCCCTGCGATTTCCAACCCTCTTTCAGATGGTGATATTCTTTGCTTGAGGACAAGCAAAAGGATAAGTCTGGGGGAGTTGATAGGTCCCTATATTTACCACTTTTAGACCATGTTATAAGCCCTATTTCAAATCTGTTATGTATGTCTAGGATGTGTTTTAGAGTTTTTACAGGTACACGTGTGTTTTGGAGCATTGTTGAGATTATTATGCTTTTTAGAGCTTAAAGAGAGAAGAATCCTGAAGCTGGCCATATTCAGAATAGTACGAGCTGAGGCAGAGAATAACGTCAATCAATGACGTTTTCCATTGATCGACAATCGACGCGCGAAAACCAAATCTGCAAAGCTGCCGACTTGAATCCCAAACACAACAAATTACAAGATTTCCTCTAGACGAGTTTTACCTAGTTTATACGTTCTTTGCTGGTGTTTTACAAAAATGACGGTTTTTTGCACTCTTTCATTATTCTCAGACAAATTTAGTAATTTAAGGTTTTGGAGAGAAGATCAAGACTTCTTCAGAGCTTTGTATCGGAATCCCATTACAGTTCATATTCTATATTCTATGCAATATTTTATGGTTATGATTATGTGTTGCTTGATTATGTCTGGGTAGTCACCTTGTTAGATTTAAGGTTTATTAAAGGTTTTGATGGATTAGTCAAATGATAGAATTGATAGGGTAAATATTAGATATATCATTAATATATTTCCTAATGCTTGTGTTCAAGATTAGCTACCTAGAACTATGAACTATGATATTGAGAATAATGTGATTACTTGATCAATACCTGAATAATCTATTGTGAGCTTAGAATACTAGCAACAAACAAGAGTTGATTTAGTGGTTCTTAGTGATTAACTGAATCTGGTCGAATTAATGCTCGATTAAGAAAGTCATCGATCGATGTCATATACGTACCACAGTCAATCCGGTTAAACATACGAAAGTTGTATACTCAAGGCTTAATCCTAGATAGGTATAAATTAGATATCTTTACCAATTGAATTTGTGTTCTATGATTGAAAACCCCTTAGTGTTCTATTCATTATAATTCACTACTTGAAACCTATTTTTCTTATTTGCTTACAACCAACTATTTCCCTATTTATTTTCTTTAAAATCTATATAAACTGCCTCGCAAAAATTAATTGAATATCAAGTCTATTGTGTGTCCTTACTCTCTATGGATTTGATCCCTAAGTACTACAACTGAATCTCTTATTTGAAAGAGTAATTAGTAACTTTACGGTAATTTGAGCACGTCTCACTTATGAACTGATAAACATCATTTTTTTACATCGAGGATATCATGGTGTTAATTTAACCAGCATCATCTTGACGTTTGACTTGAACTTCTCGAAAAAAAATGTATTGCTTGTTTTCTTCCTAAAATTTCAACGGGAACTTCGATTGCGACGGAACAAAAGACATTTCGATCGAGACTCAAAGGATAACATGATGAGAGCCTTATTTGGTGATGAGGAATACTTGGCGACATTGACCAAGTAGATATGGTGTCGGGGGACATGGAGTTAAAGAGGGAGTTGTGTGGCGACATGGAGTGAGAGATGGAGCTGTGTGGTGACATGGAGGAGGGATAGGAGCTGTGTGGAGACATGGAGGAGTGAGAGAGGTTGTGTGGCGACATGGTAGAGAGAGGGGGTAAGACCATCTCCAATGGTTTAAACTATTTTTTACTTTAAAATAGAGTCACTCTATAATAGAGTTGGAGTTTACTCTAATGGTACTCTATTTTAGAGTAAAAAATAGAGTGATGAACAAAAAGGAATAAGTTAGTAAGCCTATTTTTTACTCATTTTAGAGTGAAAAATAGAGTGGGGTTGGAGATGCCCTAAGTTGCGACAGTAGATAGAGGGTCTGTGATGACAAGGTAGGGAGAGAGTGTGTTTGGGGCACCATGGAGGAGTAAGAGAAGCTGTGTGGCGAGATGGTAGAGAGAGAGAGAGAGAGGGTGTTATGTGGCGACATGGAAAAGAGAGGGAGCGGGTGGAAAAGAGAGGGAGCGGTGTTCTTGCGTTCTCATTTCCTCCGTTGATCACTCCGTAGATTTTCGGAATTATTTAGTTTGTTTTTATGCAAGTTTTTCTGCAAAGATTTTCTGAAGGTCTTTTTGGGGAAGATTATCTCACGAACTTTCCTATGAGCTTCTTCCGTGAAAAATCTCCGGTCTTTTGTTTTACAGAAGATTTGTTTCATAAAATTTGTCATTTATCATAAAAACCTTTCGCAATAATTTTTTTCTGATCTTTCCATGTTTGGATAGAAACTCTCATTTTCTATCTAAGATGAAACGTACGGAGTTTTGTCCTCGTATCATGATTTAAATTGGCTCGGCTTAGGCAGTATGGTTCGTTGACATTTCAGGTTCATATTCGTTAAAGCATATTTTCTCGAAAGACTTTATCTGTTGATTTCGTCGACTGCAACACATTAGAAGGGCAATTCCTCTGCTTCCAAAGGTGTATTAGTTGGTAAAACTGAGGCTCTGCCTTGCAGAATTTGAATGCCCTCTCTGCTATTTAGGGACCACGCAATTCCTGATTTTGTTTCAATATATAGTAGGAAGTATGATAAGGCGGTTGGAAATGTTATTTGCCAAAACGATTTATAGCCCCATGGAGAGCATGTAATGGAGAACTAACCAGAATGTGAAGGCCTGCGTTGAACTGATTGTTCAAACAAGACCAGCTTAAGCCTATTTTTCTCGAGGTTTTGTACATGAATATGCTCCCATGTATTTTTTGATGAGAAGTCATTATAGGCATCTGGTCCATGCTTCCACAATGTGACCTCATTATGTGGATACTCATTTGGTAAAGTAGATTAGACAATCATTTGGGCATCCCACGTAGATGAGATCCGCTGCATCTTCAGCAAAAAGACTGGTATCCCATCTAAAGACCATTTCTTCTACGCTACACCGGAGGCCAAACAACTAAAATCTAAAATCCATTATCAGGGTAATACGAACACTCACAAATTGGGTCTCAATGTAAAGAATAAAGATCATACTCTCAAAAGAGCAACCTAACCCGAAGTTAGGTGAAGTAAAGGTCTACAATAAGAGCTTTAACACTTCCTGAAGTCAAGTAGGAGATCACCCGGAGAGACCCACCCCGTTAAAATCGGAGCTAAACTACACTTTTTTTTTTTTTTTGTTTCCCGTACCAGGTAGTTCTTCTTCCATCTTAATATAAACAAGAACACAAAACCTAAGCTACACTTTGTTTTGCTTCTTGTCCCAAAATCCTTGCTCTGTTCTTACTTTCATACTCAAAACAAGGAAAAAGTAGAAACCATGTTTGGATTCTAGAACCAACACCAAGCAAATGGAAACTTCTTATTGTTTTTCACCCCCAACACATTGGCTTAACTTAACGTGATGATTATAACGAACAATATGCACAACATACTCTCTCTATTCACAATCCTAACAAATCTACACTAACCAGAATATCAAATCTCTAGTCAGCAGTCAACATAATATGATGCAAATCAATCTGAAGTTTCTCATGAAGAAGAGACACATCAACAACATTCCCTTTCTCCTCCTTTGCCGCCAACTCAGCCACCGGAATCGCCGCAAGAAACCTCTTTATATACTCTCTGCAACACTCTTTACCCTTACAAACCAATTTCTCCGACGATGCCTCTTTCTCATACATCAAACTCGAATCATCAAATTTGAGAATGTAAGCTTGCTTGCAACCTTCGAATAATCTCTCCCCTAACGAATCAATCACACAATACCCGTCCAAATCTGCCTTCACCACAAAGAAATGATCGTTCCAGCTAACAATATAAACCCTAGACTCCCCATTCCCCGACGCAACCGCTACTTCTTTCTCCACTTCGTCCCAGATCTGATCGAACGACATTAAACCTTCCAACGAAGCGAATCTCTCCGGGTTGAAAAACCCAGTAAACGAATGCTCAGTACAAACCCTGATCGGTCGTAATTTTGCGGACACGATTGTCTCCAGATCGAAATGTCTGTCCGGGAACAATGTCAGATACGATTCTTTGTCGGAGAGAGATTGCCACAAGGAAGATCCTTGCGTGATTAGCGAATCGAACTCTGTTCCTGAAGGATTGATTAACCGAGGATTCGCTTGGAACCAATGAGCCACCACCACCGCAACCGCCGCGCAAGCCGCTTCTCCGCCGGCTTGCTCGCTTCTCTGATCAATCGACGCCGTGTAAACTTCCGATCTCAGCTTCCATTTTCCGTCGCGGCTCGCTAGATCCTTCACCACCCATTTGTTTGGCTCGATCGATAACTCCGTCGCCGGCTTTCCTGATTCCGTCGCCGACGGTATCTTTGTTGAGGTTTCCTCCTCTCTCTGCAAAAAAAATTAAACCGGTTCCGGTTAGGATACAAAATCAAATTTGGTTTTTAAATTTGGTAAACAGAATGGTTACCGGTTCTCTTCTCCAGGTCATGGAAAAGCTTAACCGTCGTCTCTTCCACCAGTTAAACCCGGCTTTTTGACCCGGTTCAGACTGATTCTCTGGGCTTGAATTCGACCCTGTTCCTAAAATTGGGCTGACAGCACCGGAATTTGAAGCGGTGGCTGGTGAGGAAGAAGTGTCGAAATCAATGCCGCCGCGACGACTTGCCATCTTTGTCGTGATCGCGGAGTCAACCGTTACCGGACCGAGTTGTGTAAAATCGTCTGGTTCGTTTCTTACTTCAGAAAAAGTCACGTTGACCTGATTTAAATAAACAACCGCGTGTCTTAATTAATTAAGGATTAGGATTATTACCTTATTAATTTATTTCTTCTTTCAACAAAAAGGAATTAACTAATTAAATGTAAACTTTCCCTGATGTTTCCGAGGGTAATATTATATCCAATGAGAACAAAGAATCATTCAAACTGGTAATGGCTTTTAATTGATTAAAGTTTTAAATTGACCAGCTTACCACAAGGGTTGCTCCCTTCCAAAGTAAACCCTTTGACCTAATCGGAAGCTGTCTCTCCACCGTTGATTCAAGTTTCGAAGCCAACTCCGCCAAATCTAACGACGCTTTTCCGACGATAGCCTTTTTGTTTTTTGCGTCTATAGTCTCCCCCTAATGACCAAGATTAGACCATGTTTCGGTTAGGAACATATAACAGATTGTATGTAATATGTTAGATTGATTATGCTCAAAGATTATTAATAAAAAAAACTCACGTAGAAAACACTGAAGGAAAGGTTCCACGGGCCAACAATACAACAAATGCGTTCGAACTCTTCTTCCCATTTGACATGGCTTACGCCCAAAGCAATCGGTTTAGAGCTCGTGTGGTTGATGGGTCGGTTTGACCGATAGAAAGGGACGAGCCCCAATCCGAAACCAGAGACGGGTCCTTTCCATTTCAATTCCACCATCGCGAAAACATTCTTTGCTTCCGTCTGGCCTCCGAGAACAGCCGGTAAACCATCGAGTCTCACCGGCTTCACCATTACGTGAAGCTTTCTCACTTTCTTGGCCATTGATTATTTGAGAATTATTTGTTCCTCTTCTTTGCGGGTTTTCTCTTTATCTGGGGTTCTCTCTTTTTTTTTGATCGAATCTCTTCTTTTATTCAGGTATAGATAATGCGTGAAGAAGGCGATATTTCTTGTTTTATATACAGATTTGTGTATGTAGAGGCGTATGTATTCTAAAATAAGGCATATGAAACGTAGAGAATATTGAAAAGGTATCGAAGACAGCAAAGAGAGAAACCCGCCAAGTAAAAAAAAAACAATTTAAAAAATAGGCCTAGAAAAGCGACTTGGTCGTATATATGCGGCAAACGGCAGCAAACCCGCGTTTAGAAGAAATGAGAAAGAAGGAACAACAAACATCACGTGTGACTAGTATCTTTTCCCGCGGATAAAGCTGACGTGGGTTTATTTAGTTGGATGGATGACTTACGTACCTTGCTTTAGTTGATACAACAGAAACTCGGTCTCTCTATACAAACTTCTGCAAGGGAATTTAGATTCGGACTGGTTCACATCTTAGTCCTTTTATCATTTATTACTTTTCCTCGAATTGTTAGAATGAAATTTTTAATCATTTAACTAAAATATTCAGAAACATATACTATGAAAGAATTCCTAAACCCAAATTCCACATGCCTAATTGACTTTAGTATTGTATTGTTGTTTGATTTTAGTAAAAGACACAAAACTTATTTACACAGTTTTTATCATTATATTTGGGAGAGGATATTTACTCGGTATCTTTGCTATTTCATTGTGTTGTTTGATTTAATTAAAAGACACGATTTATTTACCCAATTGGTTATCATTATATTTGGGATGGATAACTTACGTACCTTGGTTTAGTTGATAAAACAGAAACTTGGTTACAGAAAACGCGTTTCTGATTCTCAGGCTAAGACAGTTAGGTATTTTTATCGTAAGTTTGTGTACGTTGGTTATTCTATTTCGGTCTGGTTACCTAGACCACCTCAAGTCGCTTGAGTAATAGATCAGCCGTTTGATGTCAAAAAAAAAAAAAAACAGAAACTTGGTCTCTCTGTATACAACTTCTGCAAGAGAACTTAGAGCATCTCCAACGAGAGTCTTTAAAGAAAAATTCTTTAAAAAAATTAAATAATCAGTTGACCCCGCAAAAAGTTAAAAATTCGATTTTTAAAATTTCTAAATATGTATAATTTCTTAGTGAATCCTTATACTATTTTCGGGTTCCCACGACACGTGACGGCTCGCAATTGATTGATATTTTTCTTTTAATCTGAAAAAAAAAAGAAAATAATAATTAAAAAATTAAAAGATAGTTTTTTTAAAGACTCCAACGGAGTAACACTATTGGAGATGCTCTTAGATCCTCGAATTGAAATTGTTTAATCATTTAACTAAAATATTCAGAAACATATATTGTGAAAGAATTCCTAAACCCAAATTCCACATGCCTAATTGACTTTAGTATTGTATTGTTGTTTGATTTTAGTAAAAGACACAAAATTTATCTACACAGTTTTTTATCATTGTATTTATGAGAGGATAACGGAACATCCCAACACAAAAATCTTTGAAAAACACAGTTGAAATTCTAAATAAAGATGGAACCATGTTTTCAAACAAGTAACATTGAAAAATACCAAGACTTTATTAATGAAATCCAAAATTAGATATTGTGGTGCATGTAGTGTTGGAGTAAGCTTGAAGTTAATGAGACAATATTGATGACGTGGGAAGCAAGCTAAATATAGTCCTAATCTAGTGGAGTTGAAGATAAAGATGAAGATGTTTTCTAGGAGTTATCTATAAACATTAATAGTCTTTATCTAATAGAATTAAGATCTATGTTTAGCCATATATATATACATCCATCGAGTGAATGATGAGATTGTATGAGTTTGAGATTGTTAAGGTTTTGAGTAAGTTTTGCCTTAAGAGCTTAATATAAGAGAGTTAGTCTTATTGATCATTCACATACATATTTCTCTGACTAGTCTTTCAACACGTGGTATCAGAGCAACAAAGTTGAAGAACTATGTCAGACCTTGCGGTTGCTACGGTGAAGGAGAAAGATACGGGATCTACATCAATCAAGTGTCCTCTGTTGAACAACACAAACTACACGGTTTGGGCAATCAAGATGAAGATTTTGCTAAAGGTACATGATGTGTGGAGTCTTATCGAGAAAGAAGAAGGAGATATTAAGAAGAACAACATGGCCATGGCACTCTTGATTCAATCCATTCCTGAATCTCTGGTTTTACAAATTGGAGGACTTGATACAGCTAAGAAGATGTGGGACGCAATTAAGACCAGACACGTAGGAGCTGATAGGGTCAAGGAGGCACGTTTACAAACACTCATGTCAGACTTTGATCGTCTTAACATGAAGGACAAGGAGACTATTGATGAATTCTCAGGCAGGATCTCAGAGATTGCTTCAAAGTGTGCTGCACTCGGAGAAGAAATAGAGGAAACAAAGCTTGTCAAGAAGTTTCTAAAGAGTCTTCCTCGGAAAAAATACATAACCATTGTGGCTGCATTAGAGCAGGTGTTGGATCTCAAGACTACTAGCTACGAGGATATCATTGGACGTCTCAAAGCTTATGAGGAACGTGTTAGCGAAGAAGAAGATACATCTGAAGAGCAAAACAAGCTGATGTATACCAATTCTGAACAAAACACGAGTCGAAGCTATAATGGTGAAAACAGAGCCCGTGGTCGTGGAGGCAGAAATTTTAACAGAGGAAGAGGACGTGGTCGCTATAACTACGTAAGAGAAGAGAGAGATGCTTCCAAGGTTACTTGTTATCGTTGTGACAAACTGGGACATTACGCCAGTGACTGTCCTGATCGTCTTTTGAAGTTACAAGAAACCTTAGAAGCTAAAAAGGAAGAGGACACACACGAGGCAGATGAGTTGATGCTACATGAGGTTGTGTTTCTCAATGAGGAGAAGGTCAAGCTCAGTACCTTTGAGACAAGCCAGGACACTAGCAATGTGTGGTACCTTGACAACGGCGCAAGCAACCACATGACTGGAGAACGTTCTTACTTCACCACACTCGATGAAACCATCACAGGGAAGGTTAAATTTGGTGATGACTCACGCATCAATATAGAAGGAAAAGGGACTATTAATTTTCTTTTCAAGGATGGAGCAAAGAAGAGCATGTCAAACGTGTACTATATACCAGCACTTAAAAGCAACATTATAAGCCTTGGTCAAGCTACAGAGTCAGGATGCGAAGTTAGGATGAAAGAAGAGACTCTGTTCCTGTATGATCGTGATGGAAAGCTCTTGATCAAGAGCAGGAGAGGAAAAAATCGCTTATATAAAGTAGCACTAGAAGCAGAGAGTGTGAAGTGTCTACAAGTGGTAACATCAAACGAATCCAGTAAATGGCATGCGAGATTGGGTCATATCAACTTTGACAATATAAAGTTGATGATAGACAAGGAGCTTGTCACGGGCATACCAAAGATTTCAATCACAAAGAACACATGTGTTTCATGCTTACTTGGAAAACACGCAAGGAAATCCTTTCCTCAAGCAGCCAAATACAGAGCATCACAGAGACTTGAGTTATTACATGGGGATCTTTGTGGCCCAATCAACCCTGCAACGATAGGAGGAAACAGGTATGTGTTCGTGATAATCGACGATCACTCTAGATACATGTGGACAATGTTGTTGAAGGAGAAGAGTGATGCCTTTTGGAGATTCAAGAAGTTCAAGACATCAATAGAGCAAGAAACAGGTGTTAAGATTAAAACTCTCAGGACTGACAGAGGAGGAGAATTCACGTCTCTAGAGTTCAATAGTTTTTGTGAAGAAAATGGGATTCAAAGACACTTAACCGCGCCATATTCACCTCAACAGAATGGCGTGGTTGAGAGAAGGAACAGGACGATACTAGAGATGACAAGGAGCATGTTGAAACACATGAATGTTCCTAACTACATGTGGGGAGAAGCTGTCAGACATGTCANGGAGGAGAATTCACGTCTCTAGAGTTCAATAGTTTTTGTGAAGAAAATGGGATTCAAAGACACTTAACCGCGCCATATTCACCTCAACAGAATGGCGTGGTTGAGAGAAGGAACAGGACGATACTAGAGATGACAAGGAGCATGTTGAAACACATGAATGTTCCTAACTACATGTGGGGAGAAGCTGTCAGACATGTCACTTATCTGATTAATCGATCTGCAACAAGAACACTTTCTCTGAAGACTCCTTACGAGATGTTTAAAGGAACTAAGCCAAATGTCTCTCATCTTAAGGTATTTGGATGCAGAGGGTACGCTAGAACAGAAGCTCCTCACAGAAAGAAACTAGACGACAGATCACGAGCTTTAGTACATTTGGGAACAGAACCAGGCACCAAAGCATACCGCCTTTATGATCCGTCAAGCAGGAAGATCATCGTGAGCCGAGATGTAGTATTCTTGGAGGAAGAAGGGTGGAACTGGAATGATCCTACAGAGAGAAATGATGCCGGATCATTCAGTATCAAACTTGGTGAGTATGGTAACAGAGGACTCAGAGAGACTGAACTTGACGAGGAAGTTAATGACACTGGTGTCGTGAGAATGGAACAAGTAAGTGGAGAAGCAAGCAGAATCGTGGAGAATGATGTAGTAGAGATCTCAAGTGATGAGGAAGAAACACAGGAAGAACCAGTACTAAGGAGGTCTACAAGAGTTAAGGTACCTCCGAATTATTTATCAGATTATGTTCTAATGGCTGAGACGGAATGTGAGTGGCTCCTAATGTCACTCAATGAGGAACNATGGAACAAGTAAGTGGAGAAGCAAGCAGAATCGTGGAGAATGATGTAGTAGAGATCTCAAGTGATGAGGAAGAAACACAGGAAGAACCAGTACTAAGGAGGTCTACAAGAGTTAAGGTACCTCCGAATTATTTATCAGATTATGTTCTAATGGCTGAGACGGAATGTGAGTGGCTCCTAATGTCACTCAATGAGGAACCATGTAACTTCTCTGAAGCTAAGGGTATGAAAGTATGGATAAAGGCTTGTGAAGATGAGATAGCCTCTATTGAGAAGAACCACACATGGAGTTTGGTTGACATACCTACAGGAGCAAAAGCCATTGGATTAAAATGGGTATTCAAGATAAAACGCAATCCTGATGGCAGTGTGAACAAATACAAAGCAAGGTTAGTGGCAAAGGGCTATGTGCAAAGACATGGTATAGACTAT